AGGAAGATGAAAAAGCAAAAGCTGGAAGGTGTTTTAGCTCCTGTCTTTCCCACTGTGAACAGTTTAAGACCTGTTTATGGGCAGAAATTAGGCAAGATGGAAATACCATTATCTGCAGAACACTCTGAAATTCAACAGACTTCAAAAAAGATAGGCAGTGTTTCAAAAAAATATGTTTAAATGCGAGCTCCACGTCAAAGGAGGAGGTTGGTTTAACTTCAGCAGCACCTTCAAATACAAAGTACTTCTCAGAGGGAGGGTAAACATGATTCAAGCACAAGCAGTCTTTAAAATGGAGGCTGATAAGCTGAACACCACAGAAAAATGACTCCATTGTGTGAATATCAAGTGGGTCCAGCAAACAGAAATGACCCGTGCTTCACAAATATAATTACTGCACTTGGCTCTCTCATGGCTCAATGCCCTGCTTATAATAAATGGCCTTGAAAAGCAGCATTTTTATAGAGTGGTTGGTTTGCTGAGCTCTCTGCTCCTTGCTGTGCTGAGGCAGGAATTGCTCATCACTCAGGGAACCCAACTCAGAACATAAAAGCAACCCCAGCAAATCACGGCAAGATCCTCCTAATCCTGCTCCTTTGTTTCCAGCAGCAGCTTTGTCCCCACAGTGCTCTCACAGACTCTGGGATCTACAGCTGAACGACTTTCTGAACCAGACACTCTCACTGTACATCCAAGGGATTTACAGTCACTCACCATTAATGTTTTTCTCCTCCACAAACTCACCCATGTTCTTTAGAAACTCAGGGAAGCTTGTGCCATCCAATGATATCTCTGCTCCATCTATAATTTTGTGCCCTCTAATTACATGTAGCTAAGCTGTTACATAACAATCCCAACCTGCCTGCCAAGGGGTGGAATTTGTAAGCAGGAGGGAATGAGGGGGGGGAAAAAAGGCTTATAAACACCTCTGTGGCAAGATAATCTTATCTCAAAGCCTTTGTTCTTCAAGATTGCTCAGGGAGTTAATGTTTGTGGTTATGAAATATAGATGTGTTTGGAATAAGGGGGGGTAAAAAGTAATAATGTTGTTTGCTGGAGGTACAGCTCAGCAGAAGGAATCCAGAGGAGAAGGATCTGGAAGCTCTTTGTACAAGCGTTGCTCGGAATGAGAAGACTTGTCAGGATCAGCTCAGGGAAAGGAGGATTTGATCAGCTTCTGTCTGCAGAGTTGCTGGATCAAATTGAGACATCAAATCACTGGTCCATCAAACATGGAATTCTGCTTGCCAGCAGTTTGTCACTTGGTCCTTCAGAGGACATCCCACTGCCCCACAGCCTCCTGAGAAGGGCAGCAATGCACAAGCCTCCCCTGTGCTGTCAGAAATCACCCACTCCCTCGGCCAGAAACAGCAGGAGAACCTGGATGGCCCTCAAGGTCCCTTCCAACTATAACAATCCCAAGATTCTGTGGTTCTATCCTTGATTTAGGAGTGGGATTCCCACACCAAGCTCTGCTTCTAAGGCTGCAAAACCCCATCAGACCAGGACTCCGCTTGGAGATTTAGAAAGTGTGACATGGGATCAGATTTAACTCCAAATACTTTGCACAAACTACTCCAGGCCCTCTAATCCCTCCTGGCTGCTCATTAAGAGCTCCCTTAATAACTTCCTGCTCCATGCAGCTTTACTGGATCTTTAAGAAATCAGGCAGTGCCTGGACTGCACCAAACCATGACATGTTTCTGGATTTCAGTTTGGGCCAAGTAAGGCCCCTCTTTAGAAGGATTCTTGGGTGGGAAATTTGCAATTTTGTCCTTCCTGCCTCCATACAGTCTTGGGATGGAAGGGACATGAAAGCCCATCCAGTTCCAACCCCCTGCCATGGGAAGGGACACCTTCCACTACCCCAGGTTGCTCCAAGGCCTGTCCAGCCCAGCCTTGGACACTTCCAGGCATAGGGAAGTCACAGCTTTCCTGTCAGGCTGCCAGTTGGAGCTGCAGGGACTTCAAATGAAGAATAATTCCCCAGAAAGGAAAAATGAAAAGATAGAATTTGCAAGCAAGAAGCACAGCTCCAAAACCTGAGCAGAAATAGCTCTGAAGGCCATGGTAAAATGTAGGACTGCATTTGTCACCTCACAGGGCACATTCCTGTGCTTGAGATCCAAAAATGTTGAATGTGGGTTCATAAACCAGCAGACATTCAGCTTCTCTTCATTCAAGAAGAATGTGCTCATTCTAGCACTCTTGTCCTGTAGAGAGTTGTCAAGTTCCCAAAGAGCATAAAAAAAAATGTATCCAATGGAGAGTGCCATCCTATTCCAGTTCAATATACCTGATATCATGAGAATTTTCCCTTTCTAAGGCTATTTAAGTTTTCCCCTGTGGAGTCTAGAAGAATCTGGGTGTCAGCCTCACCCCAGTGGGCTCCTTGCTGTGGATATGCAGCTCCACCAACTTTATTCTCTTCATGGCCTCCTGCTTTAAAAAAAAAATATTGATAGGATGAGTTTTCTTCTGAGAACAGCTACACCCATCTCCTGCACACAACCAGCCAGCAGCTCTGTCCCGTGATACGATAAATGCTGCCCAGCGGTTCGATGAGCAGCTGTGAGTGTGGGTGCTGATAGGAGGGTGGATCTCCAGTTTTGGGGCACGGTGCCACAACTCAGCTGTGCAGAGAGCACAAACACGATGATTCTCACTGTCCCTGTCCCAACAAAAAACCTCTTGGCTGAGCAATTGCTGGTTTCAGCCCTAAGATCAACCAGGTGGCTCATTCTGCTGGGCTGAAGGCATTTGGGACATGGCCATACACATGAGGCGCTGACCTTGATGGGAAAGGGGGAAATACCTCCTTTTATTGAACTTTTAGGAAACAATGTAAAACCTAACAGGTCCTGCCCAGCCACTGTGACCTCAGTAAGAGCAGGAACACTAAAAAGCAGAGTCTAAGCAAGGGAGAGTGAGTTTTAGCAGCTGTTCATGTAGAACAGCCAGCAGAAGGATGCAAAGGCAGCATCTTTGGATGGAAATTTGAAATGCAGAGGTGATTTTTAGCAACAAAAAGATCATTTGGGTACTACATCCCTCTCGGATGTGGTACAACCTAGGAGAGACAATTGCACTGGTGTGTGGTATTTGCTGGGGCCCTAGGACGAAGGAGGAATTGAGAATCTGACTCCATGTTCTTAGAAGGCTAATTTATTATTTTATGATATTATATTAATGAAATGCTATACTAAAACTATACTAAAGAATAGAGAAAGGATACTTACCAAAGGCTTAACAAGATACTAAAAACTCATGACTGACTCCTCAGAGTCGTGACACAGCTGGATGGTGATTGGTCATTAAATAAAAACAATTCACGTTAAACAAATCAAACCTGTTGGATAAACAATCTCCAGACCACATTCCAAAACAGCAAAATGCAGGGGAGAAAAATGAGATAATATTGTTTTTTCCTTTTTATCTGAAGCTTCTCATCTTCCCAGGAGAAGAAATCCTGGTGAAGGGATTTTTCAGAAAATATGACAGTGACACTGGTGTGATGGAAAGATGATGACAGGAGCATCTCCCTGATGAGGAAAGGCCGAGGGAGCTGGGGCTGTTCAGCCTGGAGAGGAGGCACAGCTGAGAGGGGCCCTCAGCCCTGGGTGTCCCTGTGTGCAGGGAGGGGCAGAGCAGGGCCCAGGCTCTGCTCCAGGGCCCAGCAATGGCACCAGAGCCACGGGCAGGGACTGAGCCCAGCAAGTTCCGCCTGGACAGGAGGCAGAACTTCTTTCCTGTGCAGTGATCAAGCCCTGAACAGAGACCAGAGAGGCTGTGGAGTCTCCTCACTGGGGATATTTCAGAACTGTCTGGACATTGTGAAAAATGCATGTATTTTATGATTGGCTTTTTGCAAATATTAAAATGAATATTAGATGTGTTGTGTTAGAAAGTAATGCTGGATTAATTCTCTTAAGTTGTGTGTTAAGTATAGTTTTCGGTTATAAAAAATGTTAAAATAGAAACTATACTATGTAAGATACTATTTTTAAAGAAAGGACTCGCAGCAAGATAACAGCCACAGGACACCTGAATCTTTCAGAGAAAGAGAATTTATTGCCCTCTTATCAGAAGAAACGAACTTCTTCCCACCTCGAAGATGCTGTTAGGATTCAGAGGAAGAAGCTGAGGATGACCAGACAGAATCCTGTGTTTGAATGGAATTTGTGCATCATGGATGAGGTGTATGAATGTGCAACAGGCTGTTGTTTTTAAGGGTTAATCCTTTGTTAATGTGTGTCCTTTTTCAGCCTCTGCTGCCCAGAAAAAGTTACCTAGACGTCTGTAACTCTTTGTCTCTATTGTCTCATCTTGTGTTAATTCAAATTGTCCAAATTATTATTATTCTAATTGTATTACTATTTTATAACCATTTTATTACTATTAAACTTTTAAAATTTTAAAAACAAGTGATTGGCGTTTTTCACAGACATAACCCTCTGCTGTGGCATGACCCTTCTTGAGCAGGGAGGTGGCACCAGATGGCCTCCAGTGGTCCCTTCTAACCTGACCCATCTGGGGCTCTGGGAATTAGCGATTCTGGGATTTGGGAATCTGTGAGCAGCGCTGTGTTGTACAGAGGCTTGGCTGGTGAGTGCTGGTGAGAGATGGAGAGGGACTTGGGACAAGAGCATTGAGTGGCAAGAAGAGGGGGAACGGCTTCCCACTGCCAGAGGGCAGGGTTAAATGGGATATTGGGAAGAAATTGTTCCCTGTGAGGGTGGGGAGGCCCTGTGGCTGCCCCATCCCTTGCAGTGTTCCAGGCCAGGCTGGACAGGGCTCGGAGCAATCAAGGATAGTGGAAGGTGCCCCTGCCCACGGCAGGGCATGGGATGAGCTGTAATGTCCCTTGTCCCCGTGGCCGGGCACCGCCCGCCCGCCCTCAGCTCCCGAGGGGCCGCCGCGCCCCGCCCGCCACCGCCGCCCCTCACGGCGCGTGACATCACGCCCGTGTGACGTCACCGCCCAATCCCCTGGGCGGTCGCCGCTGATGTCAGGCCCCGGCCCCGGCGCGAGCGGACTGGGCTGAGGGAACGGGGCGGCGGCGGGAGCGCGGCAGGAGCGGGGTGAGCGCGGGCATGGACAGGGATGGACCGGACCGGACCCGACCGGACCGGGGGCTGAGGGGCTTTGGGGGATTTGGGATGGCGGGACCGCCCCGCTCCCGGCGCGACCGAATGAATGGGATGGGGGAGGGGCGGCTCTCCCCGGCACCGCGCTGTCCCCTCCTCTGGGGACACTCTGGGGACACTTCGGGGCCGGGACCGGCGGTTCGGTGCTCGTGGCGCTTTGGTGCCTCACCGCAGACTCGCTGCGGGCGGGCGGGTTTTGTTCGCGCTCGTCACCCGCCCCGACTCCGTGGTTTCATCAGCCGGGGCTGTGCCGGGTGTAGCGTCAGGGAATCGGGGAATGATTTGGGTGGAAGGGGCTTTAAACTTCCTCCCGTTCCAACCCGTGCTGCGAGCAGAAACACCTTCCACTGTCCCAGGCTGCTCCAAGTCCCGTCCAGCCTGGGCTTGGACACTTCCAGGGGTTGAGGGACATCCACAGCTGCTCTGCTATCTGTGCCAGCTCCTCTCCATGCTCATAGCCAAGAATTCCTTCTCAATAGTCCATCTAAACCTACTTTTTTATGTTTAATGTTGCTACTCCTTGTCCTGTCCCTCCATCCCTTGTCCCCAGTCCCTCTCCAGGTTTCCTGGAGCCCCTTTAGGTGCTGGAAGGGGCTCTGAGGTCCCTTTGGAGTCTTCTCCTCTCCAGGTGAACCCTCCCGGCTCTCCCAGCCTGGCTCCAGAGCAGAGGGGCTCCAGCCCTTGGAGCATCTCTGTGGCCTCCTCTGGACTCTCTCCAGCAGCTCCACGTCCTTCTGCCGTTGGCCCCAGGGCTGGGGCAGCTCTGCAGGTGGGGTCTCACCTGAGAAGGGCAGAGGGGCAGGATCCCCCCCCTTCCCCTGCTGCCCACTCAGCCCAGGACACACTGGACGTTCTGGACTTTCCTTACCTCTTCCAGGAGTTTCACGCTGTTCAGCAGCTGCGTAATCTCCCTTTTTTTTTTTTTTTTTTTTTTTTTGTTTATTTTTGGCGGCTGAGGTCAGGCTCCCAGCAGGTCCCTCACGGCTCGGGCTGACGTCTCCTCTTGCAGAGGGGCTCGGCCTCATCCCCGGCCGTGCGTCACCCCTGGGACAGCAGCCGGGCGTGTGTGTCAAGGTTATTCCAGCTGAGCTTGGCCAGCAGCTCCCTGCCAGAGGGAACAGCTCCAGCCTGGACACCCTGGCACATCCCCCCTGCCAGAGGACACCGGCAGGGACGCAGCGTCCCAGTCTGGGGGGGTCTCAGAAGCAGAGGAATTGCCAGCAGGGAATGTGAGATGCATTTGGGTCCAGCTATCCAGGCAGCAGTCCCTGGGGTTGAGCTGAGATTATCCCTAAGTTGTTGCAGCTTGAGTGCTCCCAAATGCAGGGATCTGATGGAGTTTCCACTTGGGCACCCCAGAGGCTTTCCTGTGGCTTGTGCTTCGTCTTCTGGATGCCCAAAGAAGGTGCTGTCTCACTCCTCAAGCTCTTCATACAGTTGGGAAAATTAGAGGAGCTTCCCAAGCAGAAGCAAATCTGCAGGTCTGGAGCAGAAGCTGTGGGGTTTGGAGCCAACTGGGAGCTGAGAATTTGGAGCTCAGTGAGTTGGTGTGGACCATGTTCCCGAGGATGTGGCTGGGAATCTGCAAGATCCTGTGCCCTGCACAGTCCCTTAATTTTCTTCGAAAGAAGAAAGTTCTGGATTCTTTGGTTTAGCTCCCTGGAGACTTATCCTGTGGCATCCCAGCAGCTGTGCAGCCCCAGAGATCCTGTGGGAGCTCTGGGGTTTGGTTTGGCCTCTCTTTCCCCCCTCTCTCCCATTTTCTTTGAAGCTTGCAGCAGGACTTTCCAGACAAAGCCCATGACTCTCTTATCTTTCTTGTCACCGTGAGTGACATTCTATTAATAACCAATTTACAAGAGGTGCTGGTTTCCATAAACATTTCTGACTTTTATGCGAGCAACAGGTGCTGCTGCTTATGTAACACCTTGGAAACCTCGCAGAGGATCAGCAGCTGGCAGTTCAGTCACTAAATGTCATTTTATGAATGTGTCTCTCTTTTTTTTTTTTTTCTTTATTCCCTCTTTTCCCTCTCCCAGTGCTTTAATCTTCTTACAAACCCCAGAAATTTCCTGCTATCCCAGGCAGATTATTGTTCACTGGAGCACATGTTTGCTCTCTGCTAATCTTTTTGCACTGCCACTAATTAATTTAAACTCTGTCCTTTGGCCATGACCTGAGGCTGGCTGGTTCTGGGACTTGGAAGAGCTGCTTGTGCACCTTCAGAGCCCTTTCCCTGCCTGTCCCAAACTTCCAGGCATTTCAAAATCCAGCAGGAGAGAGCAGTGAAATCCCTGGCTGCTGCTGCTGCTCTCACACGCACTTTTTTTTGGATTTTTTTTTTTTTCCTTAAGGTGTGGGACAACTCCTACTCTCTGCCAGGTTTTGATTGGCTTTCCAAAGAGGCAGTGTCCTATAAATTGCCTTCTCTGCTCTGCTTCTGCCTTATCACCAGCTGAGGCCCAGGTGAGTACAGGACAGGGAAAATTCCAGCTGCAATTCCATTGCCTAATCCTTGAAATTACCTTTGGTTATTGGTTTAAATTACTGGGGTGCGGGAAATAACGTTGATGTTTCAAGATAAAACTTCCTCATTTTGCTAACACTTTCTAATATCAGTTTGAGTTGATAAATGAGATCAGGGACTGAGAAACTATTCAGAAGGGGATGTGGGAGGGGGTTTGAAAATATATTGTGGAATTATGGAATGGTTTGGGTTGGAAGGGATCTTAAAGCTCATCCTGTTTCATGGGCAAGGACACCTTCCACTATAGATTTTATCGATATATTATATAGGTAAATTTTTGTCTTCAGTTCCCAACAGAACTGAAGTATTCCTCTTTGGGATAGTAAAAGGGGAAGCCTTTTAATATATATTATTTTAATAATAACTTATAAAAATATATGTTATTTTCCATCAGTTAAATTAATTTTTTTATGTGTTCAGAGCTGTTAATAACTCCTGGAAGTTAATTAAGGTGAAAAATTTTGATCTAGGAGAATGGGCTTTCCTGTATGAGTTGCTTTTGCAAGTCAATCACTGTGTAGAGCTGATTTCAGCTATTTGGGAAAGTGTTTTTAAGGCATAATATTGATTTCTTTATATATCTGTGCATTAATGGCAACTTTAGTAGCCAGTCACACCTGTTTTTTCCCCCTCTTTGTATTTGAAATAAAAATACATGCAATCAGTGGAGGTTTTTGCAGCAGCTCTGCTGCCTGGCTGTTTCAGTTCCTGGTATAAAATGCATTTACTGTTCTGAGTCAGACCTGGGAGTAAATTCTCAGCTTAAGCCTTTGTGGTTTCACTCTAAGTATGTTTGCAAAAACCAGTTCAGTCACTGGGAAACCAATTTTAGTCACAGCCAACTTTTGTTTGTACTTTTCAAAGCTCAAAATGCCTTTTCAGGTACTTGGAGTGGAAATTTTTTTGTCACACAGACCAGTGAGTCTCTCTCAGTGCTGGAAGATTTTATTCTTCAATGCTGAAATAGGGAGGGATAATCATGAGAGCTGGTGCCTGAGTCTGTGTCTGGATGGAATTTGGATATTTCCAAGGATGGGCACTCCCATCACCTCTCTGGGTATCTCAGACCAAGTCTTTTTGATCAGTTTAAATATATTTTTTTAATAATGCCATTTTATGGGGCTGTCTTACTAGACAATATTTAGCAAATCTGTATTTAAATGGCAGAACTCCCTCAAGTACCAGAACATTCTCTGCCAGGTGACTGAGAAGTGAAAGGAACACCCACATTAATCACTTGTTTGCTTTTCTCTGCAACTAGAATTCATCTGCAGTTTCTTGTGGAGAGCTTCCCTCTACCTGACTCTCCTTTTTAGAATATATGCCCCAAGAAAGGATCTGACAGGGTAACCCCATCAGGCAAGTTTGAAATATGCTTTCATCTGGGAATTTGCATATTCTAGATATTGGGAAATAAAAATTCTTCAGAGGGGATAAGGAAAAAAATGACTGGTTGTGCCTTGAGGATTTTATTTGAGAGAATTAAATTTGCACCACAGAAATGACCAGCTGTGGCTGCAGGCGTTATTTATTTGGGGTACTTTGCATTTCCTTCTGCAGTATGAAAGATTTGGAGAGCAGGAACCCAAACTTGAATGCAGCACAGGGTCAATTATAATTATGTGAAATAATTAGGACATTTTCCTGAGGCCTGGCTAAGCCCTACCACTCCTCTGTTTGCTTTCTGGGTACTGTCCATCCTGCGTGTTAAATCAGAGTAAATCTCCCTTTTTTTTTCAAGATATTTCCTGCTGCCTCCTTGGCTCAGCTGCTCTTGCTGATGCAATCCTGAGGAGTTTTGCTTATTCACAGCAGCCTGCAAAACTTCCACTCCAAACGTGGCATCACAGCAGCTTTGTTTTATTCTGTATTTATCCTTCAAATCACACTTCCAAGTGAAATTTTAAAAAAAGTTTAAACTTGAGCTTTACAGCGTTCTCCCTGCCCATTTTTCTGGACTGTGGATATTTTCCTGAACTCTCTCCAGGGAATACATTACCTCTGCTCATGTTACACCCCAGGCTGCTTTCAGCCCTTGCTTGGCACAATCCCCCAGCCCTGGGATGGCATCAAATTCCTCTGGATCTCTGCAGAGTTTTCCCTTTTAGCAGAGTGGGTTTTCCCTTTTAGCAGAGTGAGTTTTCCCTTTTAGCAGAGTTTTCTCTTTTAGCAGAGTTTTCAAAGCTGTTTAATGGGGTTGAATCACTCCTGACTCATCTTTTGTCTCTCTCCTCACAGCACACCTGAAAGGGGAAGATGCCAGTCATCAGGAACCTGGGCAGAGCTGCCAGCCAGCTGCTGCAGAGCTCTGGCTGTGGCTGTGGGGTGTCCCTGGTGCCTGTCAGGGCCATTGGGGTGTCCCCACGCCAGGTGGCCTCCGACGCCAGCTTCCACTCGGTGACGTTCTCCGAGTCGGATCATCCCCGGGTGTTAATCACAGGTCAGCACTCCTGGCGCAGCTGGGTTCCTGCTGCTCAGCTGAGCTTTCCCACTGCTCTCCTCCCTCCCCAAAGGGCACAGTTCTGGGAGCAGAAATACCCCAAATATCCTGGAATTGGGATGATCTTTGCCATCAGAGTCCTGTGTGAACTTTCCTACTTTAATTCCAGAACTCTTCTAAAACCAGTTCCTTGAGGAAAAAATGTAAAACTTCCTGACTCGCTGAGAAAATCATACTGATTCTTGATGTGATACAGATAATAATGGAATTCTGCATTGTGACCCCCACTTTTCCTCTGATTTTTGTCTCTTAGGTGGTCTTGGCCAGCTCGGGGTGGGACTTGCAAAGCTGCTGAGGTGGGTCACCATTCCCTGGCTTGCTGTGAGTGAGGAATTCCAGCTTTAGCCATCACTTCTAGGAGCAGTAGTTGTCTGGAAAGTTATTTATAAAAGAAATCCGATTTTTCAAATGCTGTTTTTGTCTCCTTGGCTTTGTAAATAACATTAATAGCTGGACTTGATGATCTTAAAGGTCTTTTCCTTAATGATTCTTAATGATTCTATAATTAAATTTTCACCATCATTTTATTTGTCCCTCCTGTGCTCGCTGTGGGTTCCTGACGTATTTTCTGCGTGTCCTTTGGTCACGATTCCCAAAATAGCAGGATTTTGTCTGAGGGACTGTCTGCTGAGTTGTTTGCTTCCTAAATGGGAGTATTCAGAGTCTGAACCCTCAGAGTTTTCTTTCTTTTTCCTTCTCCTTTTCCCTACCTCAAGCACAGTTACCTCCTTTTTTTTATGACATCTTTTCAAGAAGTGAAATGATGAATGAAATGTTCCAAGAGCTCTCCCTGATCCATGTCCTTGTCCATATCCAGCTCAGCTCCAGTTTATCATTTGCTCACAGTCTTTGCTGGAGGGAGTTTAGACCAAGATTAAAAGTGAGCAGACTCACTGCACTCAACACTGTAGCAGTTTGAACATTTTCTACCATTTCTGATATATTTTTAAATTATGCAAATAATGGGAGGCCAGAATGTGCTCCAATGCCCCCAGATCTGCTCTCTCCAACAGCCTTGTGATGATTAGCACAAGGTCACAATTTCTTTATTCTATTTGCTTAGTTGATATAAAAGTAACTGCAGCTGCAACAATCCCAGTGGCTTTTTGTTGTCTGCAGGGGAGTAAATTATCCCTGGGTAAAATTTTCAGTAAGAAAAGTGTAGGAAAGTCTCTTTTCCCAACATATTCTCACTTTCTAAAAAATTTCTCTATCCTTTTGCAGACCTTGACTGCTACTAGAAGTATTTTATCATTTTTAAGATGCTGGGTTGATATTTAAAGGATTGTTGGGGTGTTTTTTTGTTTAGTGCAGTAACTGATTTTATAGTGGAAAATATTGTTCCTCTGCTATCACTCCTGCAAAACAAAATAGCAACTGATGGATTATCTCAAAAAGCTGTGGACTCACTGTTCCCTGTGGGTATTTTTACACAGGAAACGCTTTGGAAAGAACAATGTGATCTTGTCTGACATTAGAAAGCCTGCAGATAATGTTTTTTATAGTGGTAAGTGACTGGGGAAGCACATGGTAAAAAAAAACAAAAACATTGACTTTACCTCTGATGTTCATAAACTAATTATCAAAGTGATAAGTGGATTACACTGACAAGCTGCTCAAACCTTCTGCATAATGCCTCTCTGCTTTCAAATCTTGCCAAGATGTTGGTTTCTTCTCTTATTCCCTTTTCCTAAATGTTTCTCTTTGCATTTTTTCACTGCAAAGAGAAATATATAGGAAAACATTTCTCTTTGCAGTGAGAAAAATGTGCCACTTTTCCAACTCAAATAACTTTTTGAGGCACCTTGTGCTCCTGCAAAGAGCAAAAAGAGGTGCTTTTATTCTTTTGGAGGGAGGAGGTTGGAAATGAAACTTGTGCTTTGTTTTTACATGCTCAGGGAATTTTTATAATGAGGTGGATATAGAGTAGGATTTAAGACACTTTGTGCTTCTGCTGAAAAAGAGATGCTTTTATTCTTATAGAGGAAGGAAGTGGAAATGAAACTTGTGCTGTGTTTTTTCATGCTCAAGGAATTTTTACTATGAGGTGGATATAGAGTAGGATTTAAGACACCTCCTGCTGTAAAAAGAGGAGCTTTTATTCTTTTGGAGGGAGGAGGTTGGAAATGAAACTTGTGCTTTGTTTTTTCATGCTCAAGGAATTTTTATAATGAGGTGGATGTAGAGTAGGATTTAAGACTCTTTGATTTTCACTGGGAACTTACGAAAACTTTTCCTCAACCTCACTGTTTAGTGATGTATTTAGGTGGTAGAAACAGCTGCCTGAGCTTCATGCAGAACCTTCCTTCCATCCATTCCTGACATCCAATTTCCCACTGCTTCCACCTCCTGCAGGTCCTTTCATCTTCGCGGATATCTTGGACTACAAGAACCTGCGGGAGATCGTGGTGAACAATCGCATCACGTGGCTGTTCCACTACAGCGCCCTGCTCAGCGCCGTGGGAGAGGCCAACGTGCCCTTGGCCAGGGCTGTCAACATCACTGGTGTGTGCTGGGTTTGAGGGCTTAAAGCTGTGTCAGGGCAGGTTTGGAAAGGTTCTTCCCCAGAGGGTGTCTGGCATTGGAACAGCTCCCCTATAGGAATGTGCTCCCTGTTGGCGGAGTGACAAAAGTGTCTTGTCCTCTCAAAAAGGAAAGAAGGCCAGAATTTTCTTGTAGCCATGATATTTTCTGAAAAATCCCTTTGCCAGGATTTTTTCTCCTGAGAAGCTTAGAGGCCTCAGGAACAGAATGTAAACAATGGTTATCTGCTGCTGTGGAATGCAACAGGTGGATCTGTGATTGGTCTCGTGTGATTGTTTCTAATTAATGGCCAATCACAGTCAGCTGCCTCAGACTGTCTGCTCAGTCACAAGATTTTCCTTTCTTCCTTTTCCTTTCTTCCTTTTCCTTTCTTTCTTCCCTTCTGATGAAATCCTTTCTTCTATTCTTTTAGTATAGTTTTAATATATCATTTACTTTTAATATAATATATAAATTGTATAAAATAATAAATCAGCCTTCTGAAACATGGACTCAACATTCTCTGCTCTCATGCTGGGACTCCTGTGAACACCACCACAGTTTCTCTCTTCAATGAGGTGAAAAAAAAACTTCATAGGACCTTAGGGACTTCACCTCAAACTTAAGGAGAGCTAATTGGACAGAAGCCAAAATGTCCCACTTGAGCAATTTACTAGAAAAAGAAGAGAACAAACTAATCACTTTTGTAAGGTGTTTTACTAAAAACAAGAACCTCTTGCCCTTGGCTTGGTTTTTCTCTGTTTGTTATTTTGCTTTTTATTAAACCTTTTTGTTTCCAACACTGCAACAGAAGGCATCCTGCTGATTTTTATGCCTCTAAGGGTAGCTGAGTGATCTTAGGTGTGTTATGGACCTCCAAGAGCTTATGAGACCTAGATCAAGGAGGCTCCTCTAACACTCCCCAGTGAATGGTGACATTTCCAAGGCTGCCAGAGCTCCAGGAGTGTTTGGACAATGCTCACAGGGTGGGATTATTGGGATGTCTGTGCAGGGCCATGGATGATCTTGATGGGTGCCTTCCAGCTGAGAATATCTTATAATTCTCATAATGGCTTGAGAAAGAAGAAATATTCTGATAAATCCTGTTTTGTGATTTTTTCCCCAGGTTTACACAATGTTCTGGACATTGCAGCTGAGCATAATTTGAGGCTCTTTGTTCCAAGCACCATTGGAGCCTTTGGACCCACCTCTCCTCGAGATCCAACTCCTGATCTCTGCATTCAGAGGCCGAGGACAATCTATGGAGTCTCCAAGGTCCATGCTGAGCTCATGGGAGAAGTGAGATTTTTTTTTTTTATTCATTTCCTAAAAGTTCTGGTAGAACTTCACTGAAACAAGTTTCCCAGAGAAGCTGTGGCTGCTTCTGGATCCCTGGAAGTGTCCAAGGCCAGGCTGGACAGGGCTTGGAGCAAACTGGGATAGTGAAAGGTGTCCCTGTCCTTGCCAGGGGTTGGAATGTTCTTTAAGTTCTCTTCCAACCCAAGCCATTTCATGATTCTATGATTGGAACATCATTGCTTTTGTCAGATTCCTCACTCATTCTTTCCCCCATTTTTCCTTAATTCAGGCTTTACTACTCAGCAATAGTCTGAGGCAGCTCTGAAGGTCAAATATCTTTTGGGTTTTGTTGGGAAAAGCACAAAGCATGAGAAGCTGGCAAAGAGCTGACTTTCAGTGTCATTTCTTTCCCTGTTTTTTATGGCTTTGGCCTCTGTGCCAGTGTGAATGGCACTGCAGAAAGGACAGTGCACAAAGCCTTGTGACAGCAGGTACACAGTGATGACTTTTTGCTCCTCCTCTACAAAAAAAGACCTTAAAGCCAAAGTCTTGGTAGTCTGCACATGCACATCTTCCTTTTCGGCTTTGTAGTTATTTATAAACAACATTTTTAAAGCTGATATTTTTATACAGTTTCCAGGTCTGAGGACTGTATTATCCTGGAAAGTCTCACAAATTTGGGAATGTTCAGTTTCTGAACATTGTACACCCTACATGAGTAGCATGACAATCCATGTTTACCGATGTGGATGTGAGCTGGAAAAGGACAAGCAGGGAGATCAGCTGCCAGGCAGGGAATGGGCATTGTTCAGTAATTCCTTTCCTTTCATCCCTGTCCTGGGACAGCTGAAGGTTCATCCTGTGTCAGATTTTTCCTGTGACACCAGTGGGTGTGTGACCAACCCTTGGTGTGTAACTCTGTGTTTCTGCTCCCTCCCCAGTACTACCACTACCGCTATGGCCTGGACTTCCGCTGCCTCAGGTATCCAGGGATTATCTCTGCTGATTCCCAGCCTGGGGGGGGAACAACTGGTGAGTGACTGGGGCATGACAAAAGGGCTGGGGAGGACTTTTCACAGGGACATGGAATGACAGGGTAAGGGGGAATGGCTTCCCACTGCCAGAGGGCAGGGATGGATGGGATATTGGGAAGGAATTCTTCCTTATGTGGGTGGTGAGGTTGCCCAGAGAAGCTGTGGCTGCCTCATCCCTGTAAATATTCAAGGCCAGGTTGGAGAGCTTGAAGCAACCTGGGATAGTGAGTGGCATCCCATCCCATGGGAGGGGATTGGAACTCAATGATCTTTAAGCTCCGTTCCAACCCAAACCACTCTGTGATTTCGTGATGAATATCTCACAGTCCTGCTGCCATATTTCAGACAGGTGACTTTGGGGTTGGTCTGAGGTTTGTTGACTGTCATGAAGTGCACAGCATAGATCATACACATCCATTATTCTCTTCCCCAGATTATGCTGTCAAGATTTTCCATGATGCCATAAAGACTGGCAAATTCAAGTGTTACCTGAGGCCAGACACCCGGCTGCCCATGATGTACATCGACGACTGCCTGAAGGCCACGCTGGAGATCATGGAGGCCCCTGCAGAAGCCCTGACCATGAGGACCTACAACATCAGTGCCATGAGCTTCACTCCTGAGGAGCTGGCCCAGGAGGTGCAGAAGTATGTCCCTGAGCTCCAGATGACCTACAACGTGGATCAAGTCAGGCAGGCCATAGGTTAGTATCCTCCCTGGCAGCAGGTAAGAAAAAACATCATCAGGGCTGAAATAGTCTCTTTCTTTTTAGGAACTGACAAATTGCTCCTGTGCAGTTCAAGCCTTATGGTTCAAAATTCAGCTTAATAATGATGTAACATCTCAAAGTTCAGAGAGATTTTCCCTAAACCTCACCTTTCTTGGTTCTTTTTCTTTTTTCTCCCTGCAGCTGACAGCTGGCCCATGAACTTCGACGACAGCAACGCCCGCAGGGACTGGGGTTGGAAACACGACTATGACCTCCCTGAGCTGGTGACCACCATGTTTAGCTACCTTGGGTCTGACTCTAGGGTTGCCCAAGCTAACTGAAATGCTTTCAGATGTTTCCAGATTTCCACAGAGGACCAGGAAGAAATGGCTGCATTTTAGTTTCTAATTTTCTGAGTCTTAGAGCGTGTCAGTTGCTAATTTTTGTAAGTAGTGGCAGAGTTGGGCAGAAATGTCCTGTAGCTGGAATGTCCTTTAGATAAACAGCAGCACTGGGTGCTGTCCCCAAACACAGCACTGCTGACAAACACAGAGTTCTTGAACTTTCACACTTAGGGAGAAACACCAAAGTAGCACTTACTCCTGGCTGATGGCTCTCCAATCATTCCTGCCTCTTCCTTGGCAAACAACGTGGGATAGCATTGTCCAACTTTCAGGCATATCCCAAAAAGCTAACAATAGGTTTTGCTTTTTCCTGGTGGAGGATGTTAGGTTGTAGCAAGAACCTTTTTACTCTTTGCTTACAAAAGAGACATCAGAAGAGCTGTTTCATGTTTCCAAATTGCAGGGGGATGTTGCAATTCTAGTTTGAAATCAAACTTTGCTCGATACCTCCTATTTATATCTCTCTTTATTGCTGTCTAAGCATACACTTTTCTATACTTAGGGCATACAGAGTAGCATTCTTATGATGCTGCTTATAAATGTGAAGTGGAATAGGACTTGAATTCTCATCATGCTTTAAAAGAAAAACAGGGTTTACAAGCAGAGCTTTTTCCTGTTCTCTGCAAGTGCCGCTGCTTTCAGCGCAGCCTCGGAGGGAGAGCTAAAATCTGAAGAGCTGTTCCATGGATGTGAGTCTGGGTGGGATTTTAGGGAGGCTGGGATTTTTAGCAGTACTTTTGGAGTTCCTGCACATTGTCACATTGCCTGGAACAAGTTTTAAAGGTGAGCTGAGGATAGAGCCTTACGGTAGAGTCAGGTCAGCCTTGGAAATCTTTCCCGTTCACCCCATTTTCCACATGCACTGTGTTTGTAGATGCTGTTTATATGTAACTCTTATAATACCCTTTTATTCTTCAGAGAGGGATCCAGAAGCTGAAACCATCTTCTAGCTACAGCTAAGGGCTGTTCTGCTTGTTGAGTTTCATGCACAGGAGATTCTGGGATGAACAAGGGAGTTTTAGATGTGTGAGAGGAAGAGGTGTCAGTTCAAAAGCTACTTAGGAGACTTCAGGAAATGACAGACTGGAGAGACAGGAAAGCCATTGTAGGTAAAGTACCAGTTTCCATGGATGTGAGTCTGAGCTGTTAGCTACTCCAGCTGAGAAACAGCCTCTGGGAGCTTTGGACTTTTATTTTTTTCAGAGAAAAAATACCTTTCATTTTCAAAATGACTGGAAATTCCCTACAGGAAGCTCTTTTTTTTTTTTTTTTTGGTGTTGTATACTCCAGTAGTGTGTGTAGGTAAAAACATTCAAGTTTTTGTTTTTTTTTTTTTTGCCTACAACTTGTTTGCTCTGTTTTCTGTGACGGTGCTTTGGTGGTTGTGAGTCTGTTGTGTTCTCTGTAACCCTGCCATGATCAGACTTGTGTCTCTTTGTGCAGGAGTTCTCCTGCAGGGAATATGTTGCCTCACAAAAGTAACCTTCCAATGAAGATTCTTTGGTGAAACCCAATTATTTGAAACCTTTGTTACACTTGTATCTTTTGGTTTTGTATGTATTTTACCCTTTCTTCTGTGGGCAAAGTAGGAATTTCCCAGGTATTTAAGCTCAAGGGTTGTGGCTGTTACTGAAATATTTTTTATATTGTTTACATTGCTGAAAAGACAAATTTTTTAAACTTTGGCCACTTTGTAACTCTCACATAGCTCAAGTGTAATTTTTGGCTCAATGGGAGGTGAAGTCAGCCCTCCCTTCCCATCCTCTGAGGAGAGACTGGCTGGGCTTTGTCCTCTGCCCAAAAGGATGGGATCCAGACTGGATTATCTCCCAGGGACCTGGAGCCAGCAGATGAAGGGCTGGAAAGGAGCTGAAGTATCTTGTCCACTCCTCAGTGCCTCTGTTCCACTTTTGGGAAGTGTAAAATAAAGAGTTTTTGATGATGGGTCTCACTCCATGTCCTTACATCACTCTGAGTCCTGGGGTCTGATCCCCTCACCCTCATTCCCAGCTCCAGTTTCATTGGAGTCAGCAAGAGTGAGGAGCAGGAATGTTCGTTCTTCTGAAACACTGTCCTTGGTGGTGGAATTACACAAAAGCCTTGGAACAGGTGTCATGGCAAAGCTGGAATTCAAACCTATGGCATTTTGCACAGTTTTGTTTTTCCTGCCAAGATGTTACCGGCCTCATTTAGGAGCAGCCATTTAAGCAACTTAATTTTTTTTATAATCTGAAATAAACCATGTTCCTATAGAGAGTGGTCTGGAGGAAACTGTTGTGACAATCAGGGAATATTATTAAATGTGCCTGCAATGTCTGCATCCTGTTTGAAATTCTCATTTTCAATCTCACCAATGATCTGTATTTTTTTCCTCCCATGTTTTCCACATTAACTTGTTATGATGTCACTTTTTTTTTTTTTCTGTATTAAACCAACTTGATGTGGTGCAAATATCTACCTTTTTCTACCAATTGGAAGTTTGACTTCTGGGCAGAGACTTCCCTCATGACACTTGAGCACTGTGGCTGTTAAGTTACTTATTCAGGACAAAAAAAATTTAAAAAAAAAGGTTGTTTAAAATATTTTTTCAACTATTGTTAGTTGTGGATGATGCCTACTTTAATAAAATCCTTTGCAATTGGATCCTGGGTTTGTCATTGGTTGGAGCAGGTGGGAAAAGTGACACAGGCAGGAGGGAAGAGCCCTGCAGGCTGAGTCAGCAGCTGGGGTGTTAAACGTGGCATCGATGCTTGGAGTAAATGAAGTCACAGAGAGGATTTGTAAAGTGAAAATCCATGTGGAACTGCTGGAATGAGTCTAGAAGAGGCCATGGAGATGCTCCAAGGGCTGGAGCCAGGCTGGGAGAGCTGGGAATGTTCACCTGGAGAAGAGAAGGATCCAGGGAGAGCTCAGAGCCCCTTCCAGGGCCTAAAGGGGCTCCAGGAGAGCTGGAGAGGGACTGGGGACAAGGGATGGAGGGACAGGACACAGAGAATGGCTTCCCACTGCCAGAGGGCAGGGATGGATGGGATATTGGGAAGGGATTCCTGGCTGTGAGGGTGGTGAGGCCCTGCTGGGTCCCTGTTTCTGTGTCTGAGCAGGTCCTGCCTCCAGACATTGCACAACCTGTGATGGGCCAGCAAGAGAAGCTTGGCTGAGGAGATGACACCCATAACTTCCCACAGCCCCACCCTGCCTCCCTAATCCATGGATAAACCCTCCCTGCAGGTGAAAGGAGGCCTTGCCCTCCTCCCACACCTCGGCTTTCCAACGATGGGAACACTTGATGGAGAAAGCATTCCTCCTGACAATGGGAACCTCTGGTGAAGGGAACATTTCTCCTGAAGATGGGAATCTCTGGTGGAGAGAACATTCCTCCTGACCACAGTACAATGACTAACGTGGCCGCGATGCTTCTGAGGGTGTTGCTCTTCCCAGCTGCTCCTCTTTGATCTTTGGCCTGGATCTTGTTGAGTTCTGTTTGAGACAAGCCCAGCCTTGCTTTTAGAGGTGCCAGAGGTGATGGTGCTGCCTCCAGAGCTGCTGCAGCTGGAGCCAGGCTGGGAGAGCTGGGGGTGCTCACCTGGAGAAGGGAAGGATCCAGGGAGAGCTCAGAGCCCCTTCCAGGGCCTAAAGGGGCTCCAGGAGAGCTGGAGAGGGACTGGGGACAAGGCATGGAGGGACAGGACAAAGAGGAATGGCCTTAAACTGAAGGATGGTGGGTTTAGATGGGATATTAGGAGGAAATTCTTGGCTGTGAGGGTGGTGAGGCCCAGACACAGGTTGCCCAGAGAATCTGTGGCTGCCCTTGGATTTCTGAAAGTGTCCAGGGCCAGGTTGGATGAAACTTGGAGCTGCTTTCTTCTTTTGGCTGTTTAAGATATCAGACAGGTGCAGGAAGAGGAGGAAGCTCCTTCCCTCAGTGGAAAGGCGTGAAGGATGTGAGGGATTAACCCCTGTGCTTTTGGAAAACCCCTCCTGCTGCTCCTCAGGTTGGAATCAAACTCCCATCTCTTTGTCAGGAGCTCTGCATTCCTGCAGGGAAGAGAAGTTGAGCCCAGGGAGGTGAAGAGAGGAGAGCATCTGGGTTATCCAGAGGGAAACCCAGGGGCTGGGGTCCCCACCTTGCAGCCCCCTCCCCACACTCAGTGTTTCAGGCAGGCCTGGTGGCTTTCCTGCCCTGCTGCAGGCAGGTTGTGTCTATTTTAGAGAACATCAGCTGACATTTGCCCTTCTCCTGGAGCCTCAGGCCAGACAAATGCTCTCCAGGCTATTTCTGGCTTCATACCATAACTGTATGTGATCCTAAATTCCCCGTGGGACTGAGCGCCTGTGGCATGCTGGGGCTGAGGGGCAGGGAGGGGGCAGCTCCTGGAACAAACCCAGGGATTTCAGGATGGCTGGGATGACACAGAGCAGCTTGGAGCTGGCACACACAGCTGTGGGGATGCAATTCAAAAGACATTTATGCCTCAGCAGCACCATTATGGAAGCTAAATCTGGACTGGGCATCGCTCAGTCAGGGGAAAAAGTTGTTTCCTGCCCTTGCTTCTGCAACTATGAGCAGTTCAGGAGGTTTTCCTGCCCCTAAAGTCATTGTGCAGCCTCCTGGAGCTCCTGAGAAGGTGCAGCACACAGGTTAATGTTCACTTTTGAGAGGATTTAAACTTTTTAACCAAAACTATAAACAGTCTTTTGCCCTCTCCCCCCATTTCATAAGGACTCCCAGAGCAAAAAAGACCTAGAGTACCAGATAATACTTCTGACCTCAAGCAGAGTTTTGATATCCCAGTTTGGAAAAGAGAAGGCTCCATAGAGACCTGAGAGCATCTTCCTGTGCCTAAAGGGACTCCAGGAGATCTGTAGAGGGACTTGGGACAAAGGATGGAAGGACAGGACACAGGGAATGGCTTCCCACTGCCAGAGGGCAGGGATGGATGGGATATTGGGAAGGAATTGTTCCCCAAGAAGGTGGGGAGGCCCTATTCAGGTTGCCCAGAGAAGCTGTGGCTGCCCCTGGATCCCTGGAAGTGTCCAAGGCCAGGCTGGACAGGGCTTGGAGCAACTTGGGATAGTGGAAGGTGGCCCTGCCCATGTCAGGGGATGGAACTGGATGCTCTCAAATTTCCCTTTCAACGCAAACCACTCCATGATTCCACAATTCTGTGAACCCTTCCACAGGTGAATGTGAAGCTGAATGGAAAATTGGGCTTGGAATGCATCCTCAGGAACTTCCCTGATGAGCTTTGGACCAATCCTAAAATAGAGGAGGTTCTTGGCAGGGCTCCAAGGACACCGATGGTTTTTGGGCACGGCGGGGGCGTTGTTGCCAGGGTGATGTCGCCTCACCTGTGTGGTGCAACAGGTCACACACCTCTCCAGCCTTTCCACTATTCCAGGTTAAAGATCTGTCACCAGCAGAGCTGTTGCAAAAAGGATGAGTCAGAGGACAGAAAGTAAAGTCCAGAGTTCATCCCCTTTGACCCAACCCAAAAGTTCCCAGATTTGGTGCATTTTTAAAGCTCTTCTTCCTGGACCCTTGTGATACTAAGAGACTCATGGGAGGTTTACCTTTACCTTTCTAGTCCTTGTAATTTTAAGGAAAAAAATTATCTTCTATGTGAGCTCCAAAATCCGTAATTAATTTTTCAGACAGTTGAGTTTTAATATTTTATCACTATTTTATTTATAATAAT